GAAAGAGCAACAAATAATGATGAAGGAACAACAAGAGATGATGAAAAAACAGCAAGCACTGTTTAGAAATCAACAAGCTTCTGTCCTCAACATAGAACAACAACTCGGGCAACTAGCTAAGGAATTTAATGAAAGGACAACAGGAGGACTTCCAGGGAACATAGAACAAAACCCAAGAGCAGCTCACATTCAAGCAATTACCACTAGAAGCGGGAAAATTATCACTCATTTAACACTCATAAACAGAAACAACTCAGACGGGGAGAATGAGGTTCAAGAAGAAATTCAAGGAAATGGATCTGAACAATCACCACGACGTGGTACAAGTGCTATGGCGTGGTCAGAAGTTGAAAACAAAAATAATGAAACTGTAAAGCCTTACCGCCCACCATTGCCATTCCCCAGTAGAGCAATTCAACAGAAGCATGTTGAAGAATATCGGAGGTTCTTAGACCACATTAAGTCTCTTGAAATAAATATTCCATTCCTTGAGGCTTTAATTGAAATGCCAAAATATGCCAAGTTCCTCAAAGACCTTTTAACAAACCGGAAGAAAATGGACGGACTATCGAAGATGGTATTAAATGAAACTTGTTCAGCTGCAATGCTAAACATGTTACCAAAGAAGATGGGTGATTCGGGAAGCATAACCTTACCATGCCAATTCGGGAATCTAGCAACTAGCCATGCTCTAGCCGATTCGGGAGCCAGTGTTAATTTGATGCCCTATTCGTTTTTCAAGAAGCTTGACCTTCCTGAACCAAGACAGGTCCGCATGGTCATACACTTAGCTAACAAGACCATGACCTTCCCAAGAGGTATATGTGAAGACCTGCTCGTAAAAGTGGACAAGTTTGTATTTCCCGCGGATTTCATCGTATTAGATATGGAGGAAGACGAACAAGTCCCAATCATCCTTGGAAGACCCTTCTTGAGCACCGCCCTAGCCTTAGTAGATATTAGAGAGTCCAAACTCACCCTCCGAGTAGGAGAAGAAGCGGTCACTTTTGGGGTTAATCGGGCAATTCAACATTCAAGAGAAAGTGATGATACGACCTTTTTATCGATGTGCTTGATGAACTATTTGAAAAGGAGCTAGGAGGATGGAAGGAAAAGGAAACCGAGGGATTTATGGTGCTTGAAGAAGGTAATTTTGATGCTGAATCAGATTTGTAAGAATTAGAGAAGCTATTGGAAGAAATGGAACATAATGAAGTAATAAAAGAGGCAGAAGAAGCAACACAACTTGGTGAAAGCAATACGTCGTGGTCAACAACTTTTTCACGATCAGCGAATAAAAGTTGTGACACCATGACATGGCAAGAAGCCCACGTCGTGGTGACTGACGAAAAGCCAAAAATAGAGCTTAAAGCCTCACCGAGCACCTGGAGTATGCATTCTTGGAAGAAGGGCAACAAAAACCAGTAATTATAGCATCCGATCTAGCTAAACATGAAAAAGAAAGACTCGTGGAAGTATTAAAGAAAAGACAAGGTGCCATAGCATGGAAGATAACCGATATCAAGGGGATTAGTCCAACCTATTGTTCTCATAATATCAACCTAGAAGAAGGAGCTAAACCCATTGTTCAACGCCAAAGACGACTTAACCAAATATGCAAGAAGTGGTTAAAAAGGAGGTGGTTAAACTTTTAGATGCCAGTATCATTTACTCAATCTCCGATATCCCACGTGTAAGTCCGGTGCACGTGGTACCGAAGAAAGGAGGAATGACGGAGGTTACCAATGAAAATAACGAGTTAATCCGAACAAGAACAGTAACAGGATGGCGCGTTTGCATCGACTATCGAAAGCTTAATGATGCTACATGCAAGGATCACTTTCCGCTACCATTTATTGACCAAATGCTCGAAAGACTTTCCGTTCATCTTTACTATTGTTTTCTTGATGGTTTCTCGGGGTACTTCCAAATTCCAATTGACCCACAAGACCAAGAAAATACCACTTTTACATGCCCAAGTGGGACGTTTGCATACAGACGCATGCCTTTTGGGTTATGCAATGCACCAGATACATTCCAAAGGTGCATGATGGCTATCTTCCACGACATGATCGAGAAATTTATGGAGGTTTTCATGGACGACTTCTCGGTTTTTGGGTCCTCTTTTGAAGATTGTTTATCCAACTTAGACCTAATTTTAGAAAGATGTGAGAAGACAAACCTAGTCCTAAATTGGGAAAAGTGTCATTTCATGGTAAAGGAAGGGATTGTGTTAGGACACGAGGTCTCAAAGTTGGGGACAGAGGTAGATAGAGCAAAAGTTGACACGGTAACTAAATTACCACCCCCAACAAATGTAAAAGGGGCAAGGAGCTTTCTTGGCCGTGCAAGATTTTATCGTCGTTTCATCAAAGACTTTTCGAAGATCACGAAGCCTTTGACTCAACTTCTTTTGAAGAATTCCCCATTCAACTTTTGTAAGGAATGTCATGAAGCATTTCAAATGTTAAAGGAAAAGTTGACCACTACTCCTATTATGATAGCACCAAACTGGAGCCTTCCTTTCGAGCTTATGTGTGATGCTAGTGATTATGCGGTGGGAGCTGTTTTGGGGCAAAGAATTGACAAACATTTTCAGCTTATTTATTATGCTAGCAAAACCTTGAACCCAACTCAAGAGAATTACACTACTACCGAGAAGGATGTGTTGGCAGTGGTTTATGCTTTTGATAAATTTCACCCATATCTAGTTTTGTCAAAAACAACTGTATTTACCGACCATTCAGTCCTTAAGTATCTCTTTGCTAAACAAGATGCTAAACCAATACTAATACGTTGGGTATGGCTTTTACAAGAGCTTGACATTGAGATTAGAGACAAAAAGGGAATGGAAAACGTAGCAGCGGATCACTTATCGCGACTAGAGAACCCGCACTTGGAAGAATTAGAAGAAAAAAAGATTGGAGATGATTTTCCCAAAGAGTATCTTATGGTTATAGCAGGAGAAATACCTTGGTATGCAGATTTAGCCAACTACTTAGCAAGTGACTATATTCCAAAAGATTTGACAAGACAACAAAAGAAGAATTTTTTTTCTGAAATTAAGTATTACTTTTGGGCTGAGCCATAACTCTTTCGAAGTTGCGCGAATGGTATGATAAGGAGATGTGTATTCGGGAAAGAGAGTCGAGAAATCTTGAAACATTGTCATAGGGGGCCCACCAGAGGACATCATGGAGCACAATATACGGCTAAGAAGATTTTTGATACGGCTTTTTATTGGCCAACAATCTTTAAATCTGCCGCTCAATATGTCAAGGAGTGCTATTCATGCCAAAGGTCGGGAAATATTTCATCCCGAACCGAGATGCCCCAAAATAGCATTCAAGTATGTGAGAGATTTGATATATGGGGGATTGACTTTATGGGACCATTCCCAATATCAAAAGGGAATAAATACATCTTGGTGGCAGTCCAATATGTATCTAAATGGGCGGAAGCACAAGCACTACCTACTAATGATTCTCGAGTGGTGGTGTGTTTTCTTACAAAGTTATTCTCGAGGTTTGGAGTTCCTAAAGCTCTTATTAGTGATCGGGGCACTCACTTTGCAAATGAGCAATTGGCTAAGGTGTTGCAAAAATATGGTGTACACCATAGATTTTCAACATCATATCATCCACAAACAAGTAGGCAAACCGAAGTTACAAACCGGGCATTAAAACATATATTGGAGCGATCGGTTGGAAGTAACAAAAAAGAGTGGTCGGACAAGCTCGATGACGCACTTTGGGTATTTCGAACGGATTTTAAACACATATTGGTACTACACCATATAGGTTGGTCTATGGAAAGAATTGCCACTTACCGGTTGAAATCGAGCATAAAGCATTTTGGGCTTTGAAAATTTGTAATTTTGAACTAACCGAACTTCGTGCCAACCGATTGATGCAAATGAATGCCCTTGAAGAACTTAGAAATGAAGCATACACTAGTTCATTAATATATAAGGACAAGTCAAAGAAATGGCATGACATGAGACTAAAAGGTCGTAAAGATTTTCATGAAGGACAAAAGGTGCTACTCTTCAATTCCAGGTTAAAGCTTTTCCCGGGCAAATTACAAACTAGGTGGGATGGGCCGTTTGTTGTTAAACAAGTTTTCCCACATGGAGCTATTGAGCTTATATCAAGATACGGAATCCCTTTGAAAGTCTACGGACATAGAGTGAAACATTATGAAGAAGGAATGCCAATTGAAGAAAAAGAAGGGGAAATCGTCAAATTCACACGAGCTGAAACAACTTGAAGCGGGAAGGAGTCCGACTTATGACTCCCCATAAAGAAGTGCTTGTAGGAGGCAACCTGTGGTTTTGAGTTTGCATTTTTTTCTTTCCTTTTCTTTTGGTTCATTTTTATTTATTTATTTAATGCTTTATACTCTCATTCTTCTGAATTTCTATGGAATTCGACGTGGGGAATGGAATAAAATGAGTGTGGGGTGGTAGATTTATATAAAATTTTGACTAAATTGGAACTTTAAAAAAAATATATATCACCACGAGGTGGTAAATTTACAGAACCCAATAACGGATTTTTCAAAGCGTTACCACGACGTGGTGTCAGTTTAACTGCAGTCAAATTAGGGTTTTTAAACCCCAGTCAAAACAATTGTTACTTTTTACTCCGCCTCTCTCTCGCCGTGTTCCATCTCCCACGAAGAACATCCTTGCCTTTTACTCGATTTCTTGCGTTTTTCAACCAAAAGGTATGATTTTTGTGTGGTTCCCTTGCTCTAATTCGCTATTTATGTTGATATAGGGTATATATTTGCTGACTAGAACACATTTAGGGCCAATATTAGGAACTTAGGGTTCCGATTTTTGAAAAAACCGGACCCGAATTTGGTTGTATTCCCCTTGATTTCGTTACCATTCTACTTTGTATTATGCCTAGAACAAACCCTAAAGTTGTATTGAGTTGAAATGGTATGGATTAAGGACCAATTTACCAAGAAATCCTGATAGTACACCGACCACGATGACTTGTCGTAGTCCTCGTCGTGGTGGGGTATTTTAAGGCATGTTCTGTTATATTTTGGTTGTAATAATGCACATGGTTCTTTGTGTGTTTTTTGTGGTTATTTTGCAGACATGGCCAACCGACCAAGACGCAACCAACCCGGGAGTCGCCCCGACTTTCCGTGGTACAGTTTTCCATGAAATGTTGGGCCCGAGATTTACACTAGATGGAATGCAAAGCTTGATTGGCTAAAGCAACGAAAAGTTCATGTGCCTGCAGTGGTAGATTGGCAGTGGAGTACAGAAACCGGATTGATGGAAGCAATTGAACCTTATCTTGATAAAACGTTTAATGGCATTCATGGGCAATTTCTTTGTCTAGGGTGGAGACGGATATTCCACATTCAAGAGATCGTGTACAAGGAACTAGTAATCGAGTTTCTAGCAACAATTTCTTTTGCACGGAATGATGGCATTTATGCTGACAACAACCTCACTTTTTTCCTCGGTGGCGAGAGGCGCACTCTTAGCCTTGCAGATTTTGCACTAGGGACGCAAATTTACCTTCCATCTGAAGTTCATTCTGAGCCTTATCAACAATACATTGCAGGTTGTGTGAGAAATACATAGGGGTTTAAAGCAGAAACGCATTGGAATGCAATTGCAAATGGAGTTTATGATAAGGGAACTGCGCAAGAGAGTGACATCCGCTCGCCTGTCCATCGATTGCTGCACCGCCTAATCACCAACCCTATTAATAAACGACAAGAAGGGGATAAGTGCCCAACTATAAACGTATTTTTCTTATGCCCATGGATCCCTATAACATTGCCCATGGATCCCTATAACAGTGCTATGAGAAGCTTTGATGATAACTTGGCACGGGGTGTCAACTACACCAACATGGGCCTAGACCACCTTATGCAGCAAATGCATGTGACCCGGCCTGCTCATTTTCCTCCTATTTATCCATATATACCAAGTTGGGAGGAAATGTGGAGAGAGCAACACGGTGGAGCAAGCGGTAATGGAGGAGGAGGTGATGATGGAGATGGCGAAGAATGGGCGTTCTCTCCTTTTATTTTAGTGGATTTAAGACTTTGTTTGTTTTATGTCTTTTATTTTTGTGTGTTTAGTTTGTGTGGTTTGGTTGTTGGATACTTATTTCTCTTTGTTTTGGTTGTTTGACGAATGTTTCCTTCTTTTATTACTTGTCCTTGTTTTAGTTTCAGGTTATTATTCTAGAGTTCAAGTAAAGGTATTAGTGGCAAAAAGAAGGTTCTTTATAGAGCACGTTTAAGAGACGACGAGAGAGGCAAGATTTGAGCAATTTTTCGGGTGTTTATTTGAGTCATTGAGTGAGGAGTCACGTCCAACAACTTCATATGTTACCTGGTGCCACTTATATTTCAAGAATCAGTACATTCGGGCACATAATTTTGTACTTTCAAGACCAACACGATGTGGTAATTCCCACCACGCCGTGTTGTCGCAGTCAGAAAACCTCGAAATTAATCTGCTTAATTCACCACGTCGTGGTGATATCCACCATGGGGTGGTGCCTCTCGAGTCTGTTTTACAAGTCTGATCCTGTACTTTCAGAAGTCTAGGTGTTCGAGAGTGGCGTTTCTAACTGTATATTCAATTTCATGGTCTGGATGAGATGTTCCCACACCTTGGAATTTTATTTTCACGCAATGCTAACGAATTGTCCCGGCTGCCACGACATGGTTGACACTTTCCTTTGTAGTGGGGGAATTTCTCATCACTTACGAGGATGTCATTCTACTTTCCAATTCCGTTTCAACATTTTCGAGCAACCTGGTTTACCCACACGTTTCCACATGATTCAAGATTCATCTTCTACCCAGGGGAGTTTGTTCCTTTTTCTCCTTTCTTATTAACTATATGTTTTACATAACATGAAATGAGGACATTGCATGAAATAAGTGTGGGGTAGGGGGTATATTATATCACATGAGAAAAAGCATTTGATTTTTAAATTTTTGCATTGCTAGTTTCAGAATTTGCATTCATATAGACTTGAAATAATAAGTTTAACTTAGGAAACTTAGCCAATTAAAATCTTTGCTAGCATAGTATTGGATGATCCGATGAGAACCCAAATGTTTACCCAAGCAAACACATGTTACAATGTATTTGTGGCTTCCCATTTCCTAGTGAAAAGTCATGAGGTATGAAAGGTAATCTGGTAGCTTATATGGCATAATATGTTCTGCAGCCTAAACATGAAATCTATCCAGGAGAGCTTAGGTAGTCATTGCACTTAGACTAATACCTTAACCAATAAAGGTTGAAGCTAAGCTCCTTGCTTAAGCATGTAGGGTTTGAGTGAAGAAAAAAAAGTGTGATATACATGTAAAAAAAGAGAGAGAAATTACCAAAAAGTGAAAGAATTTTGGAGCTATCAAAGTGTGAAGATCAAAAGATCAAAATTCTGAAGAAACCCAAAAAGTTAAAGATACCAAAAATCAAACAGAAAAGGTGGTGAATTCAAAGAAATCAAATATACAAAGAAAATGAAGAATTCAAGAGCTCCATTGTGGTATCAAAGTTGTCATTTCTAGAATTTATGTATGCTTGGTTGTTTAGCCAAAAATATCTTGAGGTTAAGAAAGATTTTTGAGGATTGATTCGGAGGGTTGCAAAAATGAGTGTTATATAAGCTAAGGGCTGAAGGTTCATAAGGATTGTGAGTATTTAGGAGTGGGAAGTTCTTAGGAGTTATAGACACAAATACATGCATTGAGGTCTTAGGATAATGGCTAGATTTGAAATGGATTGTTTTGTACTTTGTTGGTAAAATAAGAAATCAATTTGCTTGAGGGCAAGCAATGAATAAGTGTGGGGTATTTTGATATGTGTATATTTATATACATAATTATACATCATAATTTAATATTTTAATTACTTTTATGCCCTTATTAGAACAAAAGATACTTAATTTGCTATGAGTTATGTTGTAGGGACAAAAGTCATGCTTGGAGCAAAAAGGAAGCTGGATGCTGGTAGCCGGATGCTGGAAGTTGGAAGTTTGGATCAAAGCTCTTAAATGATAAAAATATACACAACACGGCGTGATGGTCCTACCACGGCGTGGTGACTTGAAGATTCCCGATCAATTTCAAAGACTTGTAGAACACAGGATAAACACGAAGACCACGACGTGGTGGACCTACCACGTCGTGGTGATCTGGTTTTGGGAAAAATATATAAAGACCTCATTCTCCTCCGAATTGGGACTTTTGGCTCTGGAAAGAATCATCACTTTTGAAGGAGAAGCCCCTGTTCTAAGGCCTGGAAGCAAGGAATTCAATCATACCATTGGAAGTAGGAGAATTAAGGCAACCAATCTCTACACTTTGATTTTTAATTAGTTTTTACCATGCCAAACTCTTTGAATTTCGATTTTGTGTTCTTGTTTGCTGAAATCATGAGCTAAATTATCATGACTTTCGTTTAGTGTAGGATGGATTGATTATTTGTGGTTGAATTTATGGATTGGATTTAATTTGTTTTGGTTATTTGTTGATTTAGCTTATTAAAGAACCTCAAGTACTTTTGATAACTATTCTCTCTACTTATTGTTGAATTTAATTAAGTTAGTTTGACTATCTTACTTAGTTGAATTTGAATCTTATGATCTTGTGAATTGCAAAATTGTAGGACTAGACTTTTGAGTAAAGCCTAGGGTTAAGTAGAAAAGTGGGTAAAGAGGTGTAGGAGCTAATATATGACGACAAATCATATATTGAATCAAATCAATAAACTAAATTGATCAATCAATTATAAGTCTAATCAATTCGAACCGAACACTAGTAAACTCGTAAGTTTGTCCGCTTGATCACCGAATAAATAAGCTAGTTTGCTAAAGGATTAAATTAGTGAATATTAATTTGGTCATCTTAGGAATCGGTAACTAAAGGAATAAAATCCATTGCACTTCCATAAATCAACCATAATAACAAGTAAATCTGAAGCTAAACAAAAGTCTCTTACTCACCTTGGTTAATTTAATTTTTGTTCTCTTGCCATAGTTTAGTGTTAGCTTAATTAATTGATAATAATTAGGTTGGTAATTTATGTTTCTAGTCTTGCAAAACTAAAAAAAACAAAACCTTTTCTAATTTCATTAGTAATTAGTTAGTAGTAGAATAAAGTAAATTAAAACATCGTTCCTTGAGTTCGACACTTGTTCTTTCCATAGCTATACTATTATACGATTAAATACACTGCCTAGTGTGTTTAATAGTCTAGTGAAAGAAACATTAGTTTTATAAATTCAAAACTTGGACAAATATATATACACATTAAATACGCATCAAAGAGCTATGCCGACAAGCGGCATTCAGACTTGGAGTTTCAGGTGGGCGACATGGTCCTCCTGAAGGTGTCACCTTGGAAAGGTGCCATCTGGTTCCAGAAGTGGGGCAAGTTGGCCCCCAGGTATATCGGCCCTTTCAGGGTTATAGCCCGGGTGGGCTAGGTAGTGTATCGGTTGGATCTGCCAGCAGAGCTCAGTCAAATCCACAACACTTTTCAAGTTTCTCAGTTGCGGAAGTGCTTAGTGGATGACTCAACGATTGTGCCATTAGAGGATATCCAGGTTGATGATAGCCTGAATTACATCGAGAGACCGGTAGCTATTCTCGATAAGAAGACGAAGAAGCTAAGGAACAAGAGGGTTGAGCTGGTAAAGGTGCAATGGCAGCACCGTAAGGGTTCAGAGTGGACTTGGGAGCCCGGGGAGGAGATGAGGGAGCACTACTCGGAGTTGTTTCCAAACGCAACAGACTTCGAGGACGAAGTCTAAGTCAAGTGGGGGAGAATTGTAACGCCTGATACCTGGTACGCATTGATTTATAATTTATTCATTTTAGTAGAGCTACTCGATGGGTTGGGAGCCCCAGACTTGTCTAGTAGAAACGAGTTTTGGACGCGGGTTTTAAGCCATCTACTCGACGATTTGAGACCTTCAACTCGGCGAGTAGGGCTGCCAGCATGAAACCCTAATTTCGGGGTTTTTCACCCTATTTAAGCAACTTAATCCCCACCTTATGGCCTCATTTCCAGCCTCCAAGTCCCAAACCCTAATCCACGAAACCCTAGAGCATTGTGAGAGTGTGTGAGCCAGTTTTGAGTGATCTTGTGTGATTTGAAGCTTGTAGTAGAAGAAGAAGCTAAAGGACTCCAAGAGAAGATTGTAGATCCAAAAGCAACATCTCATCCCCTTCACTTTCTGGTAATCAAGTCTCTAACTTGCCTATCAGTTCATTAGATCTCCTTATTTCCACTTTTTGAGGGTTTTGGTTCAAGAAACTTGACCCTTGGGATTTGGACGTCCCAAACAAGGATCCTTTCAGATCTTGGATCATTAAGGTTTATTAAGGCATAAAGGTGCAAACTTTATGCCATTGAAGCCCCCATGCAAGCTCTAAGGTGTTGTTATGGCCTTTTGAGCCACAAAAGGCCATGCACGGAAGGAAAGTCTGAGGCTTTATGTGTTCTTTTGGTGTCTAGGACCTAGATCTGGGTTTTCATGTTTTGGTTTGGAGTGATAAGGCTTTTGGACAAAGATCTATGTCCTAAAGAAATAGGGTTTGAGCTAA